CAAATAACCGTGGTATTTAAGGAAGAAATCCAAGCTGCACTGAAGGTATTGGCAAAAAACAAAAACATAAAAAGAAACATGGCTCCAAGAGTTGACAGAATACCTATTGAGATATTTCAACAGATGCAGCACTGAAGGTGCTCACTTGTTTATGACAAGAAATTTGGAAGACGGCTACCTGGCTGACCAACTGGAAGAGATCTATATTTGTGCCCATTTCAAACAAGGGTGATCCATCAGAATGTGGAAATTATCAAACAGTATCATTGATATCACAGGCAATTAAAATTTTGCAGAAGATATTTTAAAAATGGTTGCAGCAGTATATTGACATGGAACTACCAGAAATTCAAGCCAGATTTAGAAGACGATGTGGAACGAGGGATATTATTGCTGATATCAGATAGATCTTGTTTGAAAGCAAAGAATACCAGAAAGATGTTTACCTGTGTTTTACTGACTGTGGAAAGGTTTTGACTGTGTGGATCATAATAAATTATGGATAACATTGGGAAGAATAGGAATACCAGAACATTTCATTGTGCTCATGAGGAACCTTTACATAGACCAAGATGCAATAATTCAAATAGAACAAGGGAACACTGCATGGTTTAACATTAGTAAAGGTGTGCATCAAGGTTGTATGCTTTAACCATATTTACTCAATCTATATGCTGAGCAAATAATCTAAGAAGCTGGACTATATCAAGACGAACTTGGCTTCAGGACTGGATGAAGACTGGACTAATAACCTGCAATATGCAAATAACACAACCTTGCTTGCTGAAAGTGAAAGATGAATTGAAACAGTTCCTGTAAAGATCAAAGACTATAGCCTTCAGTATGGATTACATCTCAATATAAAGAAAACAAAACTCCTCACAACTGGACCAATAAACAACATCATAATAATTGGGAAAAACTATTGAAATTGTCAAGGATTTCATTTTATTTGGATCCACAATGCTTGTGGTAGTTGTGTGTCAATTTGGCTGGGCCTGGTGCTGAGTGGCTGGGCAGCTGGAAGTAGTTTTTCCCCATGATGAGACTGGTAATCAACTCCATGGTGGAATCAACTGGAGCAGCTGAGTAGCTGCCTTAGGGGTGTGGTCTGCTTTCAGTGTGTAAGAAGCATTGAGAAAGGTCCCTGAGCTTTTTGACATGCTTGGACCCTGCATGTAAGCAAATATTTATTCAGCAGCCTGCAGTGTTGTCTGCCAATCTTAGGATTGTTCCTCGACTTCAACCTGCTGTGTTGATAATTTTGGGACCATGCCATTTTATTTGTCAACCTTGGGTTTGTCAGCCTCAGCAGCCAGTAGTTGTCGGAGTTAAAAGAAGTGTACAGCTTCAGTGGGCTGTGAGCAACAGGCAGAACTGAAGCCCAGGGTCAAGGGGCCTTCAGCCGCCAGCCCCTAGAGCTTGCACTTTTAGCTAGGATTTCTAGCCTCTTAAATTGTAAGAGAATAAACTCCTGTTTGTTAAAGCCATCCCATCTCTGGTATTTCTGTTAGAATGGCACAAGGTAACCAAAACAATGCCCATGAAAGCAGCACTAAAGAAATTAAATGACACATTGCACTGGGCAGAACTGCTGCAAAAGACCTTTTTTAAGTGTTAAAGAGTAAAGATGTTACTTTGAAGACTAATGTGCACCTGAAAAATGTCATCGTATTTTCAACAGCATCATATGCATTTGAAAGCTGGACAGTGAATAAGGAAGATCAAAGACAAATTGATGCATTTGAATTGTGGTTTTGGCAAAGTATGCTGAAAATACCATGGACTACAAGAAGAATAAGCAATTCTGTTGTAGGAAAAGTACAGACAGAATGTTCCTTAGAAATGAAAATGGTCAGTCTTTGTCTCACATACTTTGGGCATGTTGTTAGAAGGGACCAGACCCTGTAGAAGGATATCATGCTTGGTGAAGTAGAGAGCCAACAAAAAAGGGAAAGACTCTCAAAATGGGATGGACTGACCCAGTGTCTGCAACGATGGACTCAAGCATAACAAAGATTGTGAGGGTGGTGCAGGACGACTAGTGTTTCATTCTGTTGTACATAGGGTCACTATGAGTTGGAACCAAACTGATGGCACCTAATAACAACAACAGTAAAGAATGTCTGCTTTTCGCATTGTACTTTGAAGATGTATCTATATGAGATCAAATTGAGAAAAGCAACTTGAAAGAATAGATAGGAACCTTAGGAGTAGTGAGTTTATATTAATGGGGGAGACATAACTCAGAGAAAGAGGTTGAGAATGATTGTACAATTTGAAGAATGTAATCAATGCCACTGAATTCTTTCTGTGGAAACTTTAATTGGTGTTTGCTGTGTATATTCTCAACAACAATGGTAACAACAAAAGTAAACTATAAATAGACAAGAAAATGAAAAAAAAGGAGTAGAATGGATAAGTAAAGTGTGGTATATTCATACAATGCAATACTGTTGTTGTTGTTGTTGTTAGGTGCCATCAAGTCAGCTGACTCATAACAACCGTATGTACAACAGAACAAAACACTGCTCAGTCCTATGCCAGTCTCACAATCCTTGTTATACCTGAGCCCACTGTTGTAGCAACTTTGTCAATCCCTCTCATGGAGGGCCTTCTCCTTTTTCATTGACCCTCCACTTTACCAGCACGATATCCTTCTCCAGAAAATGGTCCCTTCTGAAAACATGACCAAAGTAGATGAGACGAAGTCTGGCCATTCTCACTTCCAAGGAGCATTCTGGCTGAAATTCTTCCAGCACAGATTTATTAGTTCTTTTAGCAGTCCATGGTACTTTCAGTATTCTTTGCCAACACCACGACTCAAAAGCATCAATTCTTCTTTGGTCTTCCTTATTCATTGTCCAGCTCTCACATGCATATGAGGCAATTGAAAATACCATGGCTTGGCCTAGCCACAACTCTTTAAGGAGACATCTTTGCTCTTCAGCACTTTAAAGAGATATTTTGCAGCAGATTTTCCCAGTGCCATATGTCCTCTGATTTCTTGACTGCTGCTTCCATTGGTGATGATTGCGGAACCAAGTTATATGAAATCTTTGACAACTTCAATCTTTTCTCCATTTATCGTGATG